GAAGAAAATAATTCTGCAAGCAGACACAAACAACACAGCATGATTCTTGTTCCTATCAACACACCTGGAGTAGAAGTAATAAGGCTACTGTCAGTTTTTGGCTATATGGATAATCTTCATGGAGGACATTTTGAGATCCATTTTAATCAAGTGCGAGTTCCTGCCTCCAATTTAACACTAGGTGAAGGTAGGGGATTTGAAATTGCCCAAGGCCGCCTTGGACCTGGCGGAATCCACCACTGTATGAGAACAGTAGGTTTGGCAGAATGTACTTTGCAGATCACGTGTGAACAGGCAACTCAAAGGGTGGCCTTTGAGAAGAAACTGTATTCACATGAGGTGGTGGCTCACTGGATTGCTGAAAGCCCCATTGACATTGAGGAGATCCGCTTGTTGACCCTGAATGCAGCCCACAGCATTGACACTCTGGGCAGTGCTAGAGCTAAGAAGGAGATTGCAATGATTAAAGTGTCTGCCCCTTGTCTGCAAAATCACTGACCGGGCCATCCAAGACTGTGGAGGTGCAGGCGTTTCACAGGATTACCCTCTGGCTAACATGTATGCCCTAACGCTAACTTTGCGCTTAACAGTTGGGCCCGATGAAGTCCACTTCTCAGCAACCACAGCGATGGAGCGGCAGAACCAAGCCTTGAAGGCCAAGGTGTAGGGAGCAGACATGTCTCGCCTTTAGACAGATGTCATGGGCTCCAGCATTTGAATCTCATTCTAGTTTTGCAGCAGCTTGAGCACAGGATTAATTACTCACTTTTGGTAAAGATTTTGATCTTTTTTGATCATCTGTTTTGATGAGTGGGTTTTATAATTTCAAGGGTCACACACAGGTTTAAGTTAAATAAGAAATTATTTCATAATAACAGCATAGCTGTTATCATTCAGTCTAATTTCTAAGTTTTTAGCATTTATGTTTTAAACACTCAACTTGTAAAGAGATAATGAGCTAAACTGGAGAACTAAAGCATAGGTATAAAAATATTTTCATGTTTTGATTCTCAGGAATTTTCCATTTAGATAAGTATGCAAGGAATATTTAATCATTACTTCGTAAAAGATATAGTGAGGTCTCCTTTTTAACACTGGTTTCAGGGGTTGGTTTAACACTTTGCAGTAATGTTTGCACTGGAGAAAGGTGCATGACTGATTGGGTCATTTCAGAATTCCTATCATCATAAGCCTCTTCATAATTCAACAGAAGCATTTATACATAAAATCTGAATGCAGCTTAAAGTTTACTAGAAAACATGGCATATTATGAGGAAACAAAATTAGGAAAACTTTTAATTATTTATAATATGTTGATAAAAACAGTGAAGAGTTTAAGCTACAAGGAAGTGATTTTGTTTTGAGAAGAGATTAAAGACAGTCTGCTCTGAATGCCATCTTGTTAACAGCCTCACCCTAAGCAACACCTCTGTGGCTCTTACATCAGCGCTGTCCAATATAGGAGCCATTGGCTGCATGTGACTCTTGAGCACTTAAATTGTAGCTAGTGCAACTGGGGGATTGAATTTTTATTTTTTAAAATTTTAATTAATTTAAATATCGATTCTCAACTCAGTTACTGGAAAACTTTTAAGTATGCTTGGAATAACTTGGGTATGTGAATTTACTTTTTCAAATGTAAATTTTATGAAATCTAAATACAGAGCAAGTTTTTTGAATGAAAATTTAGTATCTGAATTAAAAAATATAGGAAGTGTAAAATCACACCAAATTTTGCAGAAATTTAGTATGAAAAAAGTAAAATATCTCATTAATACTTTTTAAGTATTGATTACATGTTGAAATGATAAAATCTGGATATATTGAATTAAATAAAATATATTAAAATTAAAAAAAAAAATGACTGTCAACACCTAATGTTAGAGAGGATATGGAGCAAACAGAATTCTCATACACTGTTTATGGGAGTGTAAAATTTCTACTTCTTAATGAAAAAAGTCTGGCAATTAGTCATAAAACTAAACACACATCTGCCCTAAGATCCAACAATTCCATCCTAGGTATTTACTTAAGAGAAATGAAAAATTCAGTCCACAAAGAGACTTGTAAATCAAAAGATTTTAAATCAAAAAAGGTTACAAGAGACAAAGAAGGACATTATATATTAATAAAGGTTCAATACAGCAAGAAGTTATAACAATTATAACTTTTATGCACCTAATGATACATCATTAAAATATATGAAGCACAAACTGACAGAATTGAAGGGAGATATAGACCATTCTACAATAATAATTGGAGACTTCAATACCCCACTCATAATAATGGAGACAACAACCAGACGGGGATAAGTAAGGAAATACAAGACTTAAAACAACAAACCAATTAGATCTAATAGACATACATAGAACATTCTACCCAACAAGAGAATACACATTGTTTTCAATGCACATGGGACATTTTCCAGGATAGAGCATATGTTAAGCCACAAATCAAGTATCAATAGATTTTAAAAGATAGATATCATACAAAGAATCTTCTCTGACAAAATGAGATGAAGTTAGAAATTATTAACAAAAAAGGAAAACTGGAAAATTCACAAAATTGTGGAAATTAAACAACACACTCTTAAACAACCAACGAATCAAAGAAGAAACCACAAAGATAATTAGAAATACTTACAGATGAATGAAAACAAAAATACAATATATCAAAACTTATGGGACCAAGTGAAAGTGGTGCTCAGGAGGAAACTTATAGCTATACTTACATTAAAAAACAAGAAAGATCTCAAATTAACAACCTAAATTTACAACTTAAGGAATTAGGGAAAAAAAGAACAAACTAAGTAAGCCTAAAGCTAGAAGAAGGAAGGAAATAGTCATGTGTTGCTTAACAATGGGGATATGTTCTGAGAAACGTGTCAATAGGCGATCTCATCACTGTGCAAACATCAAAGAGTGTACTTACACAAACCTAGATGGTATAATCTACTACACACCTGGGCTATATGGTACTAATCTCATGGGACCACCATTGTATATACAGTCCAGCATTTACCAAAAAGTCATCATACAGCACATGACTGTACCATCAAACACGATCTACAGATTTAAACAACCCCTATGAAAATTCCAATGGCTTTGTTTTTGCAGAAATGGAAAAGCCAATCCTCAAATTCATATGGAATCACAAGGGGCTAGAAACAGCCTAAACTATCCTTAAAAAGAGTAAGGAAGTTATTCCTGATCTCTAACTTACTACAAAACTACAGTAATCAACAGCATAGTCCAGCGTAAAGATGGATATATAGGCAAATGGAATAGAACTGAGAGTTCAGAAATAAATGTATACGATATGGCCAACTGATCTGACAAGGATGTCAAGACAATTCAATGGGGAAAGAATAGTCTCTTCAACAGATGGTACTGAGACAACTGGATTTCCACACGCAAAAGAATGAAGTTGGACCTCTACCTCACAACACACACAAAAATTAACTCAAAACGGATCAATGACCTAACCTAAGAGCCAAGACCATAAAACTCTTAAGAGAAAACATACAGATAAATCTTCATGACCTTGGATGCGGCAATGGATTTTTAGACATGACATCAAAAGTACGAGCAACAAAAGGAAAAATAAATTGGACCTCATTCAAATGTAAAACTTTTGTACATCAAAGGACATCATCAAGAAAGTGAAAGACAAACTAGAGGAGAAAATATCTGCAAATCACATATCTGATAAGAATTTAATATTCAGAATAAAGAACCATTACAACTCAACAACAAAGAGACAACCCAAATTTTAAACTGGGCAAAGGACTTGAATAGACATTTCTCCAAATAAGGCATACAAATGGTCAATAAGCATATGAACAGATGCTCAACATTATTATAAAGTCATTAGGGAAATGCAAATCAAAATCAGAAGATACCGCTTCACACCTAGTAGGATGACTACAATCAAAATAACAGGCATCGGCAAGGATGTGGAGTAACTGGAACTCTAGTACATTACTGGTGGGAACAGAAATGGTGCAGCCACTATAGTGCAGTTTGGCAGTTCCTCAAAAAGTGAAACAGAATTACCATGTGGTCCAGTATTTTCACTCCTAGGTACATACTCAAATTTGAAAACGGACTCAAACAGATACTTGTATGCCAATGTTCATTGTAGCATTTATTCACAATAGCCAAAAAGGGAACACAATCTAAAGTCCAACAATAGACGAATGGATAAACAAATCATGGTATATACATACAATGAAATATTATTCAGCTATAAAAAGGAATGAAGTACTTTATGCGACAACATGGATGACCTGCAAAGTGATTATGCTTTACATTGTACTAAGTGATATAAGCTACACATGAAAGTACAAATATTGTATGACTCGATTTATATAAAATATCCAGAACAGACAAATTCATAGAGATAACAAATAGGTTAGAGGTTACCAGGAGCTGGGTGGGGAGGGAAATGAGGTATTGCTAATGGATACAGAGTTTCAGTTGGGGTGATAAAAAAGTTTTGAAGACAGATAGTGGCAATAGCTGTACAACACGGAGAGTGTAATTAATGCCACAAACTGTACACTTAAAAAAAGTTAAAATGGCAAATTTGACGATTTTTTTTAGCATAAAATACACACAAGAGGAAAAGACTTTGGTACCTACCCAAATAATAATCTTAGATTCTACAACACTAAAACTGACTCTGTATGGGTCTTTACAGAAGTCAGTGTTCTGCAATATTTAATCCCATATCAATACAAGTCATAAGACTTCTAAAAACAGTTTGCTGAAAATTCTAAACATGTAAGTTAAAGTAAAATAATATTCTTTCCCATGTTTTCAACAATCCAAGCAGCTCAACAAATAAAACTATCTACTTTCATACTATAATACTCAAACCTATGCAAGTGACTATAAAATGGAATATGGCCCATATTTGTTTATATGATTGTTTTTCACTCTGCCAGTACTGGATATTAAGTAAATGCTGGTCACTGACATTAAGCCTTTAACACTTACAAAATACACTGCTCCAAAGCTTCCATGGCCAATTTCTCTGAGATCTGTGAAGAGCTTCTCTGGATCTTCTTTGAAGAAGAGCTCTGCAATTTCAGGGTCCTTCAGGCTGCCCGCTCGGTTAGTTGATGGCATCCTGCTGGGCAATCAGCTCTCTGATTCTAATTTTGTACTGCTATCCCAATCCTTGGTTCATCTGTATGAATGAAGCCACGTTGGCATAAACTATTGTAGAGAAATAAGAAAAGAAAAAAAGTCAGGAAAAGCACAAGCTGCTAAGAACAATTAGTATAAGACCATTTGCTGTCAGCATATACAAAATTACCTCAGGCCTAGAATTTCACTGAGAAGGAAGTGAGGTCTACTAGCACAGTAGTTCCTAAACCTGGCTCATCATCACAATCACATGTGGTGCTTAAAACAAGAAAATGCCTACTACACATAGTATAGAAGTATATACTTACACATAGATTTTTAAAAATTAAATAAATCTTTATATCTTGGAAGGCTTTCTGTATCAGTGCTTAAAGATTTATTTAATCCTGATGCAGTGAGTCCATCAGCAGAAGAGATGATAATATACACAGACAATTAACATCACGCACAACTCAAGATGTACCCACAGTATGTTTCTAAGAGGAATATTTCCGTCTATTAATGACCTTCAAATATAAGAAAATACACAAAAGATGTAATTCCTAAGCATTCTTTTCCTTTCAGATACCACATGCCAGTGTTTAGTCAACTCTAACACAGACATTCCAAAGAAAACCACAATGGGAGAAAGTAATGAATTTAATGCAGACAACTTCTTCCCCCATAAACCTGATTCACATTAAAATACAGCCTTTCTCAAATCCGCTTCATTAGATAAGTAGATACTACAGATAAGCAGTAAATTCCCTGGTGTTTCTGCTATTAGTTCCTTTATATGAGATTACCCGATTTTAAAAATGGCTGTCATAATTGAGAAATTTCAGAACCTGGGTTCTGGCATGACACTGCCTGGATATGAATCCTAGCAACATTATTTACAAGCTACGCTTGGGTAGCCTCATTTTCCTAATCTGTAAAATGAAAATAATAACCTAATTTACAGAGTAGTTGTAAGGGTTAAATGAGTTAATAAACGTAAGCATAGACTAGTACTCAGGCATAGTAAGAACTACATTAAATGTTAGCTGTTTTAACCTGCTTAAATTCACCAATTAAAAAAATAATAAACAGAAAAACCACTCCAAAATTGATTTCATTAGACTCCTGAGAGAAAAATAAAGCTCTATCCAATCCTCCCCATACTCTTTATATAACTTTTAAGCAGGTAACTACCTACCTGTCTCATTTTTAGTGAAGTCAACTGAACCAATTTTAATTCTTGCTAGAAAACTTCTTTGTAACTATGTAAAACATATTTACATGTCTTTTGTACCTCTCTAAATTTACACTACATTGCAATAAAAACCCTTAAATTGTTAATCTGTATTCCATTTCTAACATACTTTTAACGCTGCCCCATATACTTTTACCAATTTCCCTGCTCTGGAAGTTCCCTGGAACAAAGTGGTTCAATTACAGTTCTTCCAAGAATATGTGATCACAGGAAAGTCACAACTTCTCACTACTAAAATGAAGAGCTTGAACTAAATTCCATACAAAGCGTTACTATTCAACTAATCTACTTATTAAAAAATCTTCAGTGTTACCTTAAAACTTAAGAATTTTGAATGATCAAGTTACAATGACCCTTATTATAAGAATTATTTTACGTTAAAATTTTCTAATCAGTTCCATGATTTGCATCTTCTTTCTTACCTGCCTAACAAATTCCCACTCAAAATCTTTCAAGATTTAGATTAAACGTAATAATGTTTATAAAGTTTTAACTCTAGTAGGAAGAGCTAGTCACTCTTTCTTCATGCTCCAAAACATCCTGAAGCGTTTACTATAGTATACTGCAATTATTTCTCTCTCTGCTAAACAGGTAGGCACAATGCATCTCATTCATCTTTATATTAGTTCTCTATATCCTACACCCTATCTCTTACAGTTAATATTACATAAACATTTGTTGAACTAAAAGAATACACTAGGGGGCCAGCCCCATGGCTGAGTGCTTAAGTTCACGTGCTCTGCTTCTGCAGTCCAGGATTTCATCAGTTCGAATCCTGGGCACGGACATGGCACTGCTCATCAGGCCATGCTGAGGTAGCATCCTAAATGCCACAACTAGAAGGACTCACAACTAAAAATATACAACTATGCACTGGGGGGCTTTGGGGAGAAAAAGGAAAAAAAAAAAATCTTTAAAAGAATACACTTAATTCTTCTCTCCATACCACCCCTAAAAATGATTTTACTTCCACAAATATATATTGAACAAATAGTATACAAGACTATATTATGCACAATATTAAAGTTGACAGTAGAGAAATGAAGTAAATTCATAAGCAGCACCCTCCAGAAAATCAGAGAAACAAGAAATGGGGGAATTGGAACATTTGCTCTACCAAATACCAAAATATAACACAAAACCATTGCCATCACTAGAATACTAAAAATAGGACAAGTAAATCAACAATCTAAAAGTACAGAAACAAATCCATGTATGTGTATCTTGGAATTTAGTATAGAATTAAAGAAGAAGAAATAAATGTTAAGAAAACTGAGAACCCATTTGGAAAAAATTACAAAAATTATATCCCTATCACATATCTTATATAAACATTACTGCTAAGTGGCTTAAAGAGACATCTCAAATCAAAGAGGATAAAGTGAATTTGATAAAAATAAGTGTTAGAAGATGCTAATAGCTATTTGGAAAAAAATAAAACAACACCTGTTCCTCAAACTGAACATCAGAATTATATATGGGTCAGAAATACAAATATAAAAAATGAAACTATACAAGTACTAGAAGGATATGTGAGTAAGTTCCTCTGTAATCAAGAAGTAAAGAAACTTTCTTAACTATGATCCAAATCCAAAATAATAAAGAAAAAGATTGATATATTTAACAATATAAAAAAGAAAACTTGGGGGGCCGGCCCAGTGGTGCAGCGGTTAAGTTGGCACATTCTGCTTTGACGACCCAGGGTTCACTGGTTTGGATCCCAGGAGTGGACATGGCACCGCTTGGCCAGCCATGCTGTGGTAGGTGTCCCACATATAAAGTACAGGAAGATGGGCACGGATGTTAGCTCAGGGCCAGTCTTCCTCAGCAAAAAGAGGAGGATTGTCAGCAGATGTTAGCTCAGGACTAATCTTCCTCACAAAAAAAAAAAAGCAAACTTGGGAGGAGGGGCCATGGAAAAAGACAGTTCAAACAAAAAGATAGATGATAGGCTTGGGAAAAATGTTTGAAACTTATGTTTACAAAGGGTTAATATCCCTACTATGTAGAGTTGCAAAAAAAAAAAAAAAAAAAAAAAAGACAACCTGATATCCTTAATATATAAAGAGTTTCTAAAAACAGCAAAGAAATAAACAACAACTCAGCAGAGATATGGGTAGTTCACAGAAAAAAAAAGAGGAACAACCATTAGATATATGAAAATATGTTCAACATCACACAAAGTGAGAAATACAAATTAAAACTATACTAAGATTTCATTTTGTACCTATCAGAATGGCAAAGTCACTACATGCTGATTATGGGATGTAAGGGAAATATATACTTTCATACATTAGTAGTGGTAATGCAAAAACAGTACAAACCCTATGAAGAAAAATCTAGCAAGTTCATTTAAGCACTTACCATTTCACACAAACCTCCCATTCAAAGGAATCCATACAAAAGATACTTACAAAGGGAGGAACTGAAACTCATTACATTGCTGATGGGAGTGTAAAATGGTACAACCATTTTGGCAAACTGTTTAACACATGCTTATCAAGCTAAATAAAGATTTACTCCATGATGGAGCAGCTCCTTAACTAGTTATCATTTACTCAAAAGGAATGAAAACACAGGCATGCAAAAAGACTTGTACACAGCAGCTTTATTCATAATAAGCACAAACTGCAAATATAAAATATCTATCAACAAACAAATGTATAATAAAATTGTGGTATAGTCACACAATGAAATACTATTCACAGCAATAAAAAGGAATAAACTACTGATACATGCACCAACATGGCTGAATATCAAAAGCATTATGCTCAGCAAAAGAGGCCAGGAACAAAAGAATGCATACTGTGTGATTCCCCTAGTAAATTCTCAAGTAGGCAAAACTAGTCTAAAGTGGTAGATCCACAGTTGCCTGGGGCCGGTAGTGGGAAGAAATGGGTAACTGACTACAAAAGGGCCCACAGTAACTTTGTGAGGTGACAGAATGCTCTGTTTATCTTTGATTGGGGTAGTGAACTACACAAGTGTATACACTTGTCAAAACTCAACTGTAGACTTAAAATGGATGTATTTCACTGTATGTAAATTATCTCTCAACTAGCAACTTTAAAAAATTAAATAAATGGCTTAAAATCTAAGTGATAGATATATAGAGTACAAATTTATGAATAAGGTATGGAAGGATATGTATTGAAATGTTAATATTTTCTCTCATAAAGCAAGCAGGGCTGTGAAGAACATTACTTGTTAGCCTAGACATCTGTATTATCTGAATTTTTATATCAACCACATTTATAATTCTAAGAAATTTTACTTTAACTTTTACTTTAAATTTGAGAAAAATAAAATAGAATATTTTTTAAATTAAAAGAATACAGACTCTTACAAGGGAAAACATCAAAAAGGCTATTAACGTTTTTTTAAACTCACAAAAGACTAATGCATTTAAAAATTTTGTATGTCAAAAAAATTAAGTCAAACACAAAAACTGAAATATCCGGAGCAAACACAATTAAGAGTTAATACTTGTTAAATATACAGATATGATTCAAATCACTCAGACAGTAGCCAATCCATCAACATATAAATGACCAAAGGACATATATCAACATTTCATAAATAGGTAATAACAACTGGGGAAAGAAGTCAAAACTTGAAGAATAAAGGGTATGGCTATGAGTTTTCTGACTCCATTTTCCACCTTTATCTCCAGGCTTTGACTTAAGAGCAGCCTGAGTTGCAGAACTATGTTGAAGGTGCTGACAAGGAAACCCTTAAAGAAATCTCCTGTCCATCCAAAGGACCAGGAAAAGGGGACCCTGCGATCTAGAGACTGTGGTAGAAAAATGCCTTTTTTTCCCCGTTTCTTTTGTCT